CAATAAAGTGTTTTTACTTGGAATGAAGATATTCCAAGATTTGATGAATTTGTCACCACTGTGAATTTGCGATTAAGATCCCCTTAAGTCGTGAAAGAAGAATTTAACGGACTAAGCGATGGTGGGACCTTTAATGTGGATTCATGTGTCTGAGTTTTTAATTGGGTCTTACCAACCTTCGGATTAGAAATTTTTTTAACATGAACTTTAGAGTGTAAGTAAATGAAGTAATTAATATATATTTTTAACATTAATTGATATTAAAAATGCTAAAAATTAATATTAATTTCATTACCTATATTATATAAGTTATTTTAATTAGACAACTAATTAAATAAATATTAATTTTTATTTTTTTAATAACAAGTAATATTTAAAAAGTGTTCTTATAGGTACAAGTCAAAAAAACTTATAAAATGATTGATATAAAATGATACATAAACACTTTTAAAATATTTTTATGACTCTCACTATATATCTCAAAATAATTATTATTTTTTCAAACTTAAACATTATTGTTATTATTTACTTTAATCAATTATCATAACACAAAAAACTTCTCTTTATCTTCTATTACTTTAATTAATCATCATATCTTCTATTTCTCTTTTTGCTTTTATCTTTTATTGCTAGAAATGTGGTGTGTACTTAGTACCAATTGCATGCTTAAAATGTTTGAAACTTGAAATTATGATGATACCTTTTAGTTAAATACACTTGGTATTTGATCACCATATAAGCTTGGCTGAGCTATAAACCGTAAGGATGCATAATTCTTATGAAATTTTAGCAGCCTATTGTTACTAGCCATTGGTACTAAATATACAGTATATTTCTACTACTTAATTGAGTAATGATTAAGGCAACCAAATTTTTTGGATTACAAATGATACACTATAAATTATGTTATTTAAAATATTAAAAAATAAATTATATATTATTTAATAATTAATTTTCTAGTTAATTTGAACTCGTAATATCATATATGTATTAACTTATTTACACTACTAAAATTTTTTTTTAGTAACTAAATATCAACAACATGGAATTGTTTATCGGAGATATGAATTTTAACTAACAAAACTCATGTTGCTAATACTTAAATAGTACACAATACCTCAAAAAGTAATTTTCATTTTTAGCAACATGATTCTTGTTATTTTTAGTAACAAAAACCATGTTGTTGAAATTTTCCGGTGAGTTAAGCTATTATTCATTGATTGGCAGCTGCACCATACTATAAATTAATCGGCAACATGGGGAGCATGTCAATGATATGAATTTTCACCGACAAGACTTTTGTTATTGATACTTAAATAGTACTGGTAAGGGCAGTCTTCCACCCCTTACTTTGTTTACAGTAACCTTCTGTTGACAAGCAAAAGCTTCGCCAAAGCTCCCCTCTGGTTGCGGACATCTGATGGATCCACATGGAAGAAAACGGGTAGAACCATCTGCCCCAACTTGTCCCCAACTTGTCCCTGCAAGCAAGGATCTTGACGAGCTCATCCAGGCACCATCCAGAACCAGCATGGTTTGTGGAGTTATTTGCAATTTTTTAAGGAAAAAGGAAATTGATCTCGAGTTAGTTTTAAGATTTCTGTGTTCTGTTTTGGTTGCCAAGAAAATGTGACTGCTTTTTTTTTTTTCCTTTTTTTTCTTTTTTTCTTTTTTTATCAAATCATCTATTGTATCATTCAATTGACCTGATTTTCACCCTTAACCATAAGAGTCAAATTTAGGAGGAGACAGAGTTGACTATACAATATCAAGATTCAACTTAAAAATTTCAGAGAGTGAATTGTTTTTGGAAATAGTTCAAAGTCGACTTTTCAATAAAAAATTCAACTCTACATTGCAAAAATCGACTCTTACACAAAAATAGTCTATTCCCATTTTTAATAATTGACCCTTAAAAAATTTATTTTATATTTTTATCTGAAATATTTATATAAACTTAAATATATGTCCATATTAGTTTTTAAAGAGTGAAGTATTTCTGAAAATAGTTCAAAGTCG